CCTTTTTCTCTTCAAACGCCAGATCCATCACCCTCAAAATGGACGAATTGGAACTACAGATGGCCACGACGAGCTTTGTGCGGAACTGCAACATCGTTTTTATCACGGAGTCGTGGCTTCGCCCGCTGATTCCCGATGCTGCAGTCGAGCTAGCAGGCCGCACGCTACCCCGGCAGGACAGAAACCGGGACTCAGGTAAGAGCAGAGGAGGGGGGCTTTGTGTTTACGTTCACAACGAGTGGTGTTGTAACAGCAGGATCATTGACACACATTATTCTCCTGATTAAGAGGTTCTGGCAGTCTCGTGCAGAACTTTTTATCTCCCGAGGGAGTTTACAGTAGTCATAGTGATAGCTGTTTACAACCCATTGGATGCTAACGTTAGCACGGCTCTCAGCCTGCTGTTTAACACCATAAAAAAGCAGCAGCTCGCCCATCCCGACGCGGTTCTCATTGTCACTGGCGACTTCCCAAATTTGCCCAGTTTGTAGACTTTGCCATCAGAGGGAATAACACTTTGGGTCATGTTTATTCCAATATCAAGCATGCATACAAAGCTACACCCCTCCCCCACCTGGCTGGATCTGACCACCTCTGCATGTCCCTCACCCCCACCTACACCCCCCTACCGAGGAAAACAAAACCTGAGAGAAAGACAATAAAGATCTGGCCTGAAGGAGCCCTCTCTCAGCTACAGGACTGCTTCTCCACAACTATATGGCATTTATTCGCCAGCCACAACCTCCGGGAGTTCACAGACACTGTACTCTCCTACATCAGGAACTGCGTTGACAATGTCACCGTCAACAAAAGGGTCAGGGTGTTTGTAAACCCAAAACCCTGGATGAACAGCAAAGTGCAATCCCTCCTAAAAAAAAACGCGACACTGCCTTTAAGTCAGGAAACAGGGCAGTGTGTAGCGAGGCCAGGGCGGTGCTCCCCGACCCATCTCTCAAACACTTTCATAAAGTTTGCGGACGACACCACCATGGTGGGACTCATCTCAGGGGGAGACAAGTCGAACTACAGAGATGAGGTCAACAGACTGTCTGTGTGGTGTGAAGTAAACAACCTCCAACTGAACACCACAAAAACTAAAGAAATCATCATTGACTTCAGACAGGGCAGAGCGGACCCGGCCCCACTTTACATCCACGGGGACTGTGTGGAAAGGGTCCACACCATGAGATTCGTGGGTGTGCAGATATCAGAGGACCTCTCCTGTACTGCAGATACTTCTGTGGTGGTGAGGAAGGCCCAGCAGCGTCTCCACTTCCTGAGAGTGCTCAGGAGAAATAATCTGGAGGAGAAGTTGCTGGTGACCTTCTGCAGAGGCACTATAGAAAGCATCCTGGCGTACTGCATCACTGCTTGGTATGCGGGGTGCTCTGCAGCCGACAGGAGAGCACTATAGAGGATCATCTGCACAGCCCAGAAGATCACAGGCTGCCCTCTGCCCAGCCTGGGGGACACTGCCAACTCTCACTACCTGAGCAGAGCTGGCAACATCATCAAGGACTCTTACCACCCCGGAAACCACCTTTTTGACCTGTTACCGACGGGCTGAAGGTACAGGTCACACAAAACAAGGACCAACAGACTCAGGGATAGCTTCTTCCCGAGAGCTATCACCGCAGTCAACAACAACAAGTCCAGTTGAACCTGTCCCCCTCAACCAATATATATTACTGTTCACATTGATCATAGTGCGATAAATGTATCATTATCTGTGCAATAACACTTGGGGCGGCAGTAGCTTAGGAGGTAGAGCGGTTGTCCAGTAACTGGAAGGTTGGCGGTTCGATTCCCCCCTATCCTGAGTCTGTCCGTTGTGTCCTTGGGCAAGACACTTAACCCACCTTGCTCCCAGTGTGTGTCCTCCACTGGAGTATGATTGTGAGTGTTGTGTGGTGGTGATCGGAGAGGCCGGAGGCGCAAATTGGCAGCCGAATTTCTGTCAGTCTGCCCCAGGGCAGCTGTGACTACCAAGGTAGTTTACCACCACCAAAGTGTGACTGTGTGAGCGAATGAATGATGTATCCAATGTAAAGCGCTTTGAGGGTCTATGATAAAGCGCTATATGAAATCTGATGCATTATTATTATTATCATTATTATTGTTATTCACTTGTGCAATTATCAGGTTTCATGTCATTCATATCATTCATTCCTCTTTGTTTATATTTTATAATGTGTGTGTGTATATATATATAAATTACTGCCTTTTTACTTTTGCTATGCACCAAAGGGAGCGGCGCTCAAATTTCGTTGTACTGTGTACCATGACAATAAAGGCGATTCTGATTCTGATTCTGAGTAACAAAGACATCAGTTGATTTCATAAAACAAAGTCTTTATACCAAAAAAAGAGAGTACTATTCCCCTCATTCCTATAATTTTATAATATCCGATTTAACAAGATAAAAATACACTGCCTGGCCCCAAAAAAAGCTAATAGGTATGAGCCTCCTATCAGATTACTGCCTGGGCGATTATCTTTCAGCTGGGGACAAGTTATTTAACCCTAGCTGATGCAATGATTAACTCCTCATTTCTCATACATGTTAGAACCCTTCTTTAACATGTCTGTTAAAGAAGGGTCAAATCATTGGCACACATCAAGCAGAGTAAACACTGAAGAAGACTGCAGAAACTACTAAAACTGGGTTAAGAACTGTCCAATGCATTATTAAAAACTGGAAGGAAAGTGGGGCTCCATTGTCTTCCAGGAAGAAATGTGGTCGGAAAACAATCCTGAATGATCGTGATCAGTGGTCACCTAAATGTTTGGTCAAATTAAATCATAGAAAGACAACAATAGTCGATAATAATAATAATAATACATTTTATTTAAAAGCGCCTTTCTGAGCACCCAAGGACACTTTACAGGGCATAAAAACACAGCTAGAAACATAATTTAAATAAATAAAAACAACATATAAGTGTGAAAGTAGACAGTTAAAGTGAGTATGCGATATGGAAGAGGTGTGTTTTGAGATTGGATTTAAAGTCAATGGTCAGAACAGCCTCTGTTTTGAGAACAGAGGAATAACTTGAACAGCTATGACCAGCATCAAATGAGACAGGGAAGAATTTTGAAGGCTTCGTAAATCTAAGTTCTGTTCTACCTGATAGTTGGATTTTCAGATTTTCAATTATCGTGGCCATGATGGTCAAGGTAATATTCTTATTATACTATTGCAATATTTATGGGAAACTCCAAAATAAAATACACAATCAGTCAAATTAAGAAATGAAAAAAACAAGGATGAAGCAACACACTACTACATGTCCTTCAGTAATACCTTACATATCATCATTGATTTATAATAATAATCAAACTAATGATTTATTATTATTTATCTGCCCTGAGACTGACACTTCTGTAGAGAAGAAGCGGTATTGTGTCTCTTCAAGCTTAGGTCCTCTGCCAGAGGCCTGGGAGTTTGAGGGTCCTGTGCAGTATCCTTGCTGTTCCTAGAACTGCACTCTTCTGGAATGAGATGTCTGATGTTTCCCCAGGGATCTGTGGAGCTACTTCTCCAGTGTGGGGGTTATCGCCCGGAGTGCCCCAATGACCACAAGCATTACTGTTGCCTTCACCTTCCAGACTTTCTCTGGCTCCTCTTTGAGCCCTTGGTACTTCTCTAGTTTCTTGTGTTCCTTCTTCCTGATGTTGGTATCACTTGGGATGGTGACATCTACCACAACGGCTTTCCTCTGCTGTTTGTCTATGATTACCAGAGTCAGGACCTGCTATTGGAACAGCTGCGGGACTACAATTTGGTGCACTGACTTGTGCGTAAAATCTGGAGACCAACGACACATCAAAACACCATCATCCAGAAGGAAAGACACAGACTTATCAGATGTTTGCTGGTCTACTAGAGAGAGACAAGATGATAAAGTGGGGTAAGTTTGTTGCTCTTTTATCAGATGTTCCCTGTCAACTGACATTTTTAAACTTTCATCATCCAGATGAAGCTCAATAGACATTTTACTGTCCACCTCTTTAATCTCTGGGGCTGTGCTTGTCTGAATAGAATCATTCAGCAAAGAGTCACTTAAGTCCACACACTCATATTTTTGTGCCTAAGCATGAGTAACAGCACACACCAGGAACAGGGGAGGCGAGTTTGATGCAGCAGGCACAGAGATGTAAACTGTGGAGGTCGGGTCGTTGGTTACCACAGGGGACGGGAAAACTTTTCCGCCGGCCACATCATTTTCGGGAATTACATTGATGCCGTCTACTGGTAGCTGAGACCTCACAGCAATTCCTCCAATTCTGGAGGTCAGCTGAGCCAAATGCAGAGGCGCAAGCACGACACTCATTACTACTCCCCACACCAGAACATCTGAGCCACAATAGGAATCAGCCGAAAACGGCAGGACACCTTCACGAAATAGAGTTTGCTTAGCGCCAGCGCTACACTTAGCATTACATTTACAGCTGTACACCTCTTGTTTAATACACTTAGGAGCTATCTATTGGAAAACATAGTTTTAAATAAGATTTCTTATTTAGTAAACCTAACAGGCCCCATTTACATGACCAACATTGCATGGTGCACATTGAATCGGGTGGTTCATATCTTCCCTAAATGGAGCCCAATCTGAGCACTAGGTCAGGCACTGGGCCCAAAGAGCTTGGGCTAAGGCTCTTGATTATTCCTCAGCATGTTTTAGGGGTAACACGAATCAGACTGATGGTTTGTTTTCATTCTCTTTCAGACACAAGCTTGCTGCCATTATTTACCCATGTGCACTGTGCATAAAACCAATGAGTGTGTTGGTTGGAAAATAACATTTGAGCTGCACGCCAAAATGCATTGCACAACCTGTTCGATAGAGCCCAGTGCTTTTGGGGTTCTCAGACACATTAGTGCAGACTGAATGCTTTGTTAACATGAGTAAAAAAAAAGTAAAGCAACTCTATATTGGCATAAAGTTCATGTCTAAACATGGATTCAAATATGTGACTTAAGGTGACTGCCATTCTCACACTGTGGTGTTCAAACCCAGAGCTCTTCTAAACACCCTCTGAGCATCATCAGCGAGCTCTTGGAGGAAATAACTGAGAGCTCTATAGGTTGTGGTAAAAGAGAGAGCCATGGATGTCAGGATCCCAAGTAGTGGAATGAATATGACTGCTCCCTTTGCTGCCATCAAAGTAACTGCACCAGCACTTTGAGCAAGTATCTTCAGAATGACTTCAGAAGTTACTGCTCCTGCTGCCAGTGGTGAAGAGATGACTTTCATCAATTCATCTAAAGGAACACCTGTGCGAGTAGACAGTCTCTGCAGTGATGGTCTGTCAAGACCAAACCCAATTACATACTGATTGACAACATGAGCCACCAAGCCTGTATCAACAGCAGCTCCAAGACCAGGTATTGGTACACCTCCTGCAGCTGCAGATAGAGCTGAATAGTATTTTATATTGTAACTATAAGCCTCCTTCTTCCTGTTGATGATCTCCTGGCTCATATTGGGCATGGCTAACAGGAAGGTGTCCCTCTTGTGTTGAGGAAGTTCTCTCTCCAGCGTCTCCTCTAGCAAAGGGAAGTCATAGAGGTGGAGCTCAAAGCTGGATATCAGGAAGACCTGAGGGGACTGGAAACCTTCTTTCTGAAGACCTGTGTCACAAAAAGAAACAAAAACATAATGATTAGCTTTTATACTGTGATGAATAACAATATTGTTCTGTTTTGTTCAAATTTTCAGATGATTTTTGCAGGTTTTTGGACAACCTAAAAGAGGGACAAGGGACATGGGGATAATTCAAAATGGGTCATTGGAAGAGCTGAAAACAGCAGAGAGTTTTCAGTATTTGAATGCAGAGTAAGGTTGAGCTACAGTCATAGCTCAATTAGATGATTTAACTGGTCGACTGTCCAAGTTCAAGGCAAGTATCCATTTATTAACAGGAGCATGTCCACCTTCCACAAGTAGGTGGCGACAGGCTTTTCACTATTCACTACTGGGTTGTCTCTTGGTTGACATGTTACATGTTAAAACAATCAACAAAATGCATGAGTGGCTGCTGGGATGTACGTCAAAAACTTAAACACTGTTACGTTTACAGTTTTACACCTCTTCTTTGTTATTCTACAGTTTCATAATTTTTTCATGTCTTTACCCTGTTTATTGAGATTTATGCTGTTCAACTTTAATCAGTTTTTTTTTTTTTTTTTTAAATTTATTGATTTATTTTTGTGAAGCACCAAATCACAACAGTCATTATCCCAGGACACTTTTCAAATGAGCAGGTCCAGACCATGCTCACTGTTTGATGTATTACAAGGACCCAAACTTAAAGGGATATTCCGGCATAAAATCAAATTAGGGTCAAACACACCTAAACACCAAGTTAGACACCCCCTCGAGAGATGAATGTTTCTGACTGCTTGCTTCTCTCATTATACCAACTTTAGTAACAACCACACAATAGCGATACACAGTGGTCTATGGAGCCACGTGCAAACCTCAACCAAAAAGCCACTCTATAGCCACAAATAATGCTCAGAACAGCACCTAACTTCATCAACAGTACATAGGGTCCCAGCCATAGTACAAGCCATCAAACATCTTCTTAGGTTTGCCTGGTTTCTTCAGCAAAGAGACTTAACACAACTCACCCACTCTCCTCCAGCAGCCGCTTGTTTGTACAGAGACCTCGGACGAGTCCATTGCAGACTACAGCAGAGTAACACAACTCAAGGAAGAACATTTATGTTCATTACGTTATAATTTCCTTGAATTAATAATCATCATATTAATCATTTTTAACAGCAGATGCGGTAGTTCCTCTGTCTAAGCGTCTCGGTCTGGTTTCATTTCCATGAAGAAATGATAGAGAAGTAAGCAGTCGGTTTTGACCCTGACTGAATTTTAAACCGGAATATCTCTTTAAGATGGAAAAGGTTTGACCCATCCCATCCAACATGAGTGACTGTGGCAAGGGAAAACTTGCCTTTAACAGGAAGAAAACTTGTTTCAAATATAATAAAAGGCAGAATCACTGCCAGTGTTACGGAAATTGGTCTGTGACACTGTGTAAACATGTTACAATACATGGACAGGAACTTCAAGTTTTCACAGTTTGACATGTTTCAAGTTTTCCAGGGTCTAGGGTTTGAACTATTGGCTTTCTTGCCACCACAACTTTTTTTCTGTATCCCCATGCTTGCAGAGGACGTGTTTCATCTATATGTATATGTGCGTCTAACGTAGAGCATCAATGAGCCTCAAGTGTGAGCTCATCATTAATTAATCTGTATGAAATACACTACAGAAAATCAATTTATCTTAGATTATTATGCCAAATCATCTCACCTTGGCAGACATGTTTCTCCTTACTGTCTTCTTTAGTTTTTTTAAGTACTCTCATTTTAACATTTGACATACCTTCAACGCAGTCTTTTCTGATACTTCTGAGAAACTGAGCTTCATTGAAGTCCCTCTGACTTCTCTTCCCATTGTGTATGTCTTGGTCAGTCTTTGAACGGACATAATAGAACTTCTTCCCCATCTTCTGGATCTCCTTTGCCAGCCTCACGTCGTTTTCTCTGAAGCGTTCAGCTGAGACGATGATGAAGAAGTCAAACCTCTCAAATCCAACATGCTCCAGATACTTGTCAACTGGGAATTTCCTGGTGCCAATACCAGGAAGATCCCATATGGTAATACTGGGGAAGTGAGGATGGGGGTAGGGTGTTCGCTCCATGGTGGTTTCTACAGTACCAGTGGGAGCAGCTCCCTCATCCCCATTATCGATGCCTCTGATAGCGTTAACAAAGGTGGATTTACCAGAGCCAGCCTCTCCTGTGACGGCAATATTTAGAGGGATACTTTCCTCCTGGCGCAAAAAGCCCCGGATCTTTGAAGCAGCTGAGGCCAGGTCATTGTTTTGCAGAGATTGTCTGACTTCTTCTTGTATTCGAGCAGATAGATTCTCCATGGTGCTTCTTCAAACTTTAGTGACAGAGAAGTTTGAAAGTCACAGTTATCGTCCAGCAAACATGAAAAAATATTGTAGTATAATAATTTAACATCATTTACTGACAGTATATGACAAAATATAAATAAGTTTGGGATAGGATGGAAGCATGATGAGTTATTACCAAATACTACACACAGAGTAAATGATTATGATAATTCATTTCACCATAAAGGGATCAAATGGACAAATCTACCTCTTCAAGATATTTAATACAACACTCATGCAGTGCATCAAAGAATGATAAACTACATGGGTACTATTTGCCCATTTTTAGGGGTGCTAAAGCGTTCTTTTGGATCATTTTTAACAGCAGCGATGATCATGATCAAAGCTGATCTGGGCATTGAACTGAGCTCTCACTACTTCACACATGATGATGTGTGATGCATGTCACGGTTTGGCAAGTTTGGATTGGTCCAGCCAAGACACATAAGCACAGGGTTTATTGCATTCTGAGAGCCGCATCGTTCAACTACACATGTATCATGAGTCTCTGCTTAACTGGACTCCTATGTATCACATTTGGTGGTACTACAAGAACTGAAAGCCCCTTGAAAAATGTTTTCCTGTTTGATTGCACCACCTTGGCAACAGTGCGTGGCATAGACTTTTGTGATTTTATGAGGAGGTGATTGGTCTCAGGATGTACCAGGTATACAGACAATTGCTCATTCACATTTATGTAGAAACATGCCCCCTGATTGTTGTTTAATTCCCTTTGCTTTCTAATTTTGACTCACCAGTGTTTGCAGTGCTTCCTTCAGATATTTGACTAATGTGTGTACAAGTTTCTAGAGTGTTTACCCTCCTCCCTCGTTACAACTTATGCTGTTGGGAGGAGCTGAGCTCTTTTCTCCATTTACATGCAAAGGTGCAAACAGAGTTTTCCAAAATTTCCACTCTGGAGAATTTTCAAAAGCATCACTTTCAGGGGCGAATTCTCCATTTGCGTCTAAACGAAGGGTGCAAATGAAGGTTAATGTCTCAGATTTTAAAAATGACTGGGTACGTATTAACAGGGCCATAGCCCATCCTGCCCTCTTTCTTTGTTGATTTATTGTCTCTGTCGATGCCAGTCAATGTGTGTGTTTGAGCCCCTCGTGGTTTTCCCTTGTGCCTTTTGTTTCTTTGGATTCTACTCCTGTGGCTTTGAATTTTTTTTCATTTTTTTTTCATAAACTGGCCATTTTTGCCTGTTTTTCAAAATATTCAACCCCCTGTCAACATGTCACCAAGATGTTGGTCGTCTATTTTTTCAGGTCTCAGAAAGTCAGGTGATTGTACAAAAAGTTTTTTCTTATAAGAACAGGATTTTACAGTCAATTTACATAAACAGTCAATTTAGTTGTTAAACCTTGTTTTAGTAGCAAAATAAAAACATGTATTACACATTAATATCCCCATGTAATATATTTTTTTAATTTGTAATGTTAATTTTAGTATCCTCATCATACTGACACATGTTGAATTTTTATAGGCTTTACCACCCCAAACGCCCTCACTGCCTATGTACTTTCCCATGGACATGTTGAGTGCCGTGTGTGGAGTGAGAGTGGGCGTTGACCTTTTTTAAGGTTAAATAATATTGTTGGATTCTCAATGAATGGAAAAGAGAAGAAATCAGCAAATAGAGAATCTCATGAAGCAGAATTTACTAACCCACCATTGGAAAATAGGCAAGTGGACACAACTTCAACAATTCACCCTCCATGTAAAAGATGAGCTGTCATTCTAAATCCTCTATTCAAAGCTTCATTAATCATGGTTACGTTTGACCTGTACCTTTTTTTTACTCAGAAGAAACTCGTGTATCTGTGATGAAGATCTGAAGCTGAAGTCCTTATGCAGAAACAGACGGGACAGAAGTTAAACTCCAAGCCAGCTGCTCACCCACAGGAACAGCTCCCACACATTTGCTTTGTTCTGATAAAAACAGAGATAAGGTCAAGCTCTTCAAGCAGCAGCCAGTAGAAAGTGTCTTTGTCAGTGAAGGACCACAGATTGGTTATTTTCAGAGCAGCTGACTTTCAGGAAATACTCAGATTTGCATAAACAGGTACAGGTGCACCCTCACACGCCCTCTGCAGATCACATGACCTCCTTAGTAATTTGCCCTTTCATGAGGCTTGTTACTCACATTTGTAAATATACAAGTTTCAATTTTAATGAAAAGTGACAAAGTTTCCTACATTAGAACAAACTTTCCCAGCTGAGACAGAAACTCTGTGTTTCACATTTCATCATAGAGCACTCCTCACCACCTTGTTAGACACCAGACTTCATGAAAGCACAGCTAATGATGAGGAGAGTTGCTGCAGAGTGTTTGGAGAAGCTGGTTTATTTTGTTGTTTAACAGGTGTTTATCTCTGACACTTTATTTAAATCACTGATCTGTCATGTTTGTTTGTGTGGTGTGAGATTTCTTGCAGTCATATCAAAGATTAAACTCTCACTCATTGTCAGATGACCCACTTGGCCTGAATGTTGCACCCTCGGGTTATGAAACCCATAATGAAAACATCTTGAACAACACTGTCATGTTCTGCCAGATAAAAAGGAATGCAAGTACACATCATCTATGTTTTGAAGTCCTGCACTGGTGCACTAGCTGCGGTAAAGTCCTGCACTGTGCTTAATGTGAGCATAGATTCTGATTAAGGACAGAGTTTACGCTCCACTAACATTTAAGGTGTTGCAACTTCTGAGAAAGTTCAACTCATGAATTCCAGTTTAAACCCTACACCTTGCTCTGGGTTGGTATGATGGCCTCTGTAATTACAGGTTGTCATGGTGCATTGTTTAGCATGAAGGGATTACTTGGCAGATGAAGGGTTGAGGGTTTTTCCATTTGTATTGAGCAGGCAACATGTTCCCCATAATAAATCATTGCATTGTATTTACTTTGAGTTGCACTCCTCACTTGAGCTATTTAGTTTTGAAGTAAGTTTATGGTCCAGAAAAATAAAAAACAAAACAAACATACAAGGTCATGCTCACTGTTGTAGAGTTGAAAAGCCAAAAAAGTCCATTTAAGTTTGATTCAGCAATTAAACAGAGAAAAACTGCAGCTTTGAAAACAAAACTGTAAATTGTTGACTGAATATTCGGCTCAAGATGGAACAGGGTTGAGTAATGGAAAAAAATATCTATATTTCTGACATTTTCTGTGAATTGGTGCCACAATGACCAAACATGAATGTGTTGATCGAAAGAAGCATGCACTGGGCTCACTATGAAATGCTTTCATTATAAAACCATACTTACAGTAAAAACCCATCAAGGTGTGACAGGAACCTGAGCTGCAGCAAGTTTCCTTTATCATATTGTCTTTGTGGTTATTGGAAGATCATAGAGTGATGTTTTCTCACGTGTCCTGACATTTGATTGTACTCACTGAACTCTTTATCTTGTCTGGTGTGTTTGTGTTGTTTGCAGTGTTGTTGGAGTTGAAAACAAGCTGCTGCTTCTTTTCTGTCTGCATACCTGAGAAATTACCATGAGTTAATTATAGATACATCTTTTCCAAACTGACTGGTTCCTCCAGATAAAGGAATGCAAGCCCAATTCCTTGGATTTGCTCATGTCTGATTGTTGACACATTATCAGCATACATTATGCATTTTGCAAAATTTAAACACAAATGACTCAGCGGCAAAGAGGTGCAACTCCTGACTGTGACCTTTGACCCCATTGTTGGCACTACATTTAAAACCCATATCATTCTGTGAGGGATATTACAAACCCAATTGCCACAGGACCTTAAGCAAACAAGTCAGGGGCAGGAAGTCAAAAACTTCCCTGCAGGTTCTGAATGTAGCAAGTGCTTTTTTTTTATGATGATTGACAAGCATCTTGGGATAGCTTTCACTGTGAATTAGCGCTGTTGAAATGAAGACTGGTCTATTAATTGTTGACTGCAAATGAACACTTGGGTCTCTGATGACTTTTTTTAAATGTATCTTCACGTAGCGATTAAGAACTATGTTTCAGCTTTGAGCAACAGAAGAACTCACACACTCACACACAGCTGTTCAAATTTACCTGCTCGTTTCTGTATTATCTGAAGGTATGGACACAAATACAACTTTCAGTGTTGTTTGATTCTTTGGAGGTTGAATAAAATTAAATAAAATAAAGATGTTTTTTTTAAGGGTTTGGTAAAACTTTGTTGATGTTGAGAATATTGATCTGCTTACCCTCATTTTTATCCCCATGAATCACACTTTGAATGATTGAAATAATAATCTCATTCATTCAGTTTTGCCACAGATTTGTGGCTTGGTCTGCGTGGGGTCTGGAGACTGAAAGGAGGTAAGGAGGTCTCTGTCCTTCCGATTGAGCAATAGAAAAAGCCTGGGCAAGAATGGACCAGGGTCAGCCACAGTGGGGGTAAATATGCTGAAAAGACTGTACTGAAGCATATGGGGGCGGGGGGTAACTTTTTCTTTACATTCTTCTTTTTGTAATGCACCTGTTATGCTGCTGTAATACTATTGAGGAAATGAAGAGGAGGACTTTGTATCATAGAGCTTTGACAGCCAATGAAATTACCAATAATGAATGCACAATGCATGCATTATGATGTATGAATGATCAAATTTTTATTGGCTACAGGAGTGATACAATGTTGAGAAGTATAATGATCAGAAACCTTAAATCTGTGCTGTTGCCCTCTTTATAATGTTGCAATTCTGCTGTGTGACTACTAGAGGGCAGTGGACACTGATTACAATCCAAACACGGAAAGGAACAATCGCAGTTGGCTCAGATCTTTACAGATAAAACAACCCAAGTACTATTATCATGTATATATGTATATCGGCACACCAGTCACTGTCACGATTGTAATTTGACACTATGGGTTATTGATCACCTTAATAAAGCTTCTACATTGTTCACAAACCTTTCTGCTGCTGTTAGTTGAGCATTGTGTGTTAACAGTGCTAATGACACTTACTTCAGCTGTTTGTCAGTTCAAAGGTATTATTTGACAGCAGTCCCTTTATTAAGAGTCAAGCTGTTTTCTGGAAGTGTGCACATACTATCTGCAACAATATTGTGGTTAGTATGGATGCCCCACGCTATAAGTGAACCAAACAAAGACACAACTAAAGTTACAACTTAAATAGCCTGGAGCTCTTCTTTTTAAACTCACTGTTCTACTTCGTACACCCCAACACCAATAAATCAAATCACTTCCCCTATGAACAATCACTGTTAGAAGTTCTGAAAGAATACCTAAACTTGATAATCTTTATTATATATGCACTGAAAGGAGGATCCTCAAACATATTACAGAATAAATCACATATGTCCCCTATTGTTCCTACCAAAGTAATATAACTTTTATAAAACCACAACTTTAATAAACCACATATGGTTGTAAAGTTCATGTCTAAACATGGATTCAAATATGTGACTTAAGGTGACTGCCATTCTCACACTGTGGTGTTCAAACCCAGAGCTCTTCTAAACACCCTCTGAGCATCATCAGCAAGCTCTTGGAGTAACAAACTGAGAGCTCTGTAGGTTGTGGTAAAAGACAGAGTCATGGATGTCAGGATCCCAAGTAGTGGAATGAATTTGACTGCTTCCTCTGCTGCCATTAAAGCAACTGCGCTGGCACTTTGAGCAAGTATCTTCACGATAACATCAGAAGTTACTTCATTTGTTGCCAGTGGTGAGAAGATGACTTTCATCAATTCATCTAAAGGAACACCTGTGCTATCGGATAATCTCTGCAGTGATGGTCTGTCAAGACCAAACCCAATTACATACTGATTGACAACATGAGCCACCAAGCCTGTATCAACAGCAGCTCCAAGACCAGGCATTGGTACACCTCCTGCAGCTGCAGATAGAGCTGAATAGTATTTTATATTGTAACTATAAGCCTCCTTCTTCCTGTTGATGATCTCCTGGCTCATATTGGGCATGGCTAACAGGAAGGTGTCCCTCTTGTGTTGAGGAAGTTCTCTCTCCAGCGTCTCCTCTAGCAAAGGGAAGTCATAGAGGTGGAGCTCAAAGCTGGATATCAGGAAGACCTGAGGGGACTGGCAACCTTCTTTCTGAAGACCTGTGTGACAAAAAGAAACAAAAACATAATGATTAGCTTCTATACTGTGATAAATATACTGTTAAATCAATCAATCAATCAATCAATCTTTTTAGTGCCAAGTCACGACAACTGTTAGCCCTAGATGCTTCACAAAAAAAGCTGATCTAGATTAAACTACTTACAAAGACCCAATGTAAAAGGATCAGACTGAGCCCCATCTTATAAGATCAGACCCACTCCCATCCCGTCTTCAACCACACGAGTGAAACACTTTACAGCATTTAACAAGTCACAGAGGAGAGGAAGAACTTCCTTTATCAGGCAGAAACATTAAGCGGGACCAGACTGACATTAGACAGTCATCTGCTGAGACTGAGCTGGGTTTAGAGAAAGAGATGAGCAGACAGGTCCGCATGAGCAGCAGCAATCCAGAAGAACCTACAACATGATGAAGCACATGGACTCCCAGAAAAGACTGATGGGACATAATGAATCGAAGTTAATGACACATACAGAAGGAGGATAAAGAAAGAAGGAAAGATGCTCAAAGTGCCCCCCCTCCACACACACAAACACACACACACACACACACACACACACACACACGGTTTAAACCTATAGCAGCCTAACTAAGAGCTTGCCCAGGCCTGAACCAGCTCTTACTATATACTTACTTATTTACTTCTTACTATAAGCTTTATCAAAGAGGAATGTTTTAAGCCTATTCTAATTGGGTGCTCACACCAGGCAAAAAAATCATCTACTCACCTTTGCACAAATCTAAATCCATGTATGAATAGTATTTACTTGGTTCATTTGCAAGTCAACGGTAATTCCTGCTAATTTAATTGGCGGGATCAAGTGATAGACAAAGGTTATTTACAATTTCACAGGTAATCCAACCTCCTCACTCACTTGCCTCCAGGCGACCACCTTTTTATTCTGGTCTCAGTAATTAGGTATCATATAATTCGAGGCACCAACACACCGCCACAATCAGTGTCCTCCGTTTTAGATACCAATGGACAACCGTCCATTTTCATACGTCACCCAACAACCTTCCTGCTGATAAGTTATCGTGACGAGAATATCTGCTGAAGTTGACATTTTCAGCTCCCGCCCAATTCATATCATTCAAGCCACCAGAGTAGTAGGAGCATCTAATCGCATCTTTGCATTGACTTAACATGTCATTCATCCGCGCAAATGATTTTACTCACACTTGGAGTGTGGAGACAGTTAAAGGGTAAGGGTGTCTGCTCCCCTAAAAACAATTAACAAAATGCTTTGGCAAGTGGCTATTGGGATGCATGTCAAAAATTAAAACACTGTTATGTTTACAGCGCTGTAACTCTTGTTCATGCCATTTGATAGTTGTGCTACCCTGTATGGTCATGCACTGTTTTACAAAAGGTGCGAAATTTGGTTTTGTCGTGATTTTGAATTTGTATAGTTTGACCATTTTAGTCTACCACAGTTTAGTGAGGTGTCCATGTACTAGCAGAAAGGCAGCAAAGTTTGGATCAACAAAATTCAACAGAGCAGCATTTTTTTTATTTATTTCTAAGGAGTGGTAAAAGCACCTGCCTGTGAATAAAGTTTTGTTAAGCGTTGTTTTTAACATATTTGGTTTAAATAGTTCATTTTTGCTGTTAAAATACTTGCAAAGTGGATGCTAACTTTGCAAGCACTTCAGTGTAAATTCCCATAGCCTACATTAACATTTAGCTAAGTGGCTTTTGGTCAACTTGGGCCACAGCCCAGCATGCAAACTCTTGACAGCTTTGCCAACTCCTCAGTAAGGAAAGTGGCTAGTGGCTGCCCTTGAAGTCGCTAGAAGTCCCTATATGACGGCAGACATGTTCCTCTTCTCTGTTTATAACAATTTTTTTAGTTGTTTAAACTTAAAATTTTACTTTTGGCATACCTTCAACGCAGTATTTTCTGATCCGTTTAAGAGACTGAGCTTCATTGAAGTCCCTCTGACTTCTCTTCTCATTGCGAATGTTGTCGTCAATCTTTGAGCGGACAAAGTAGAACTTCTTCCCCGTCTTCTGGATCTCCTTTGCCAGCTTCGAATCATTTTCTCTGAAGCGTTCAGCTGAGATGATGATGAAGAAGTCAAACCTCTCAAATCCAACATGCTCTAGGTACTTGTCAGCCGGGAATTTCATGGTGCCAATACCCGGAAGATCCCATACAGTAATACTGGGGAAGTGAGGATGGGGGTAGGGGGTAGGTTCCATGGTGGTTTCTACGCAACCAGTAGGAGCAGCTCCCTCATCCCTGTTATCAACGCCTCTGATAGCGTTAACAAAGGTGGATTTACCAGAGCCAGCCTCTCCTGTGACGGCAATATTTAGAGGGATACTTTCCTCCTGGCACAGAAAGCCCCGGATCTTTGAAGCAGCTGAGGCCAGGTCATTGTTTTGCAGAGATTGTCTGACTTCTTCTTGTATTCGAGCAGATAGATTCTCCATGGTGCTTCTTCAAACTTTAGTGACAGAGAAGTTTGAAAGTCACAGTTATCGTCCAGCAAACATGAAAAAATATGGTACCACAATAATTTAACATTACATTCAAATAATATGGGAGAAAATAAAAAATGACTGCATATAACAGAACAACATTTTAACCTGTTAACAAACACTCCACCTAAGATTAGAGAAGATTATGATGTTGATTATTGTCACCTAAAGTAGTCAAATGGACAAATCTACTTTTGAAATTATCTAATATTTCCCCTCATGGTCAATATTTTCTGATGGATTTATTCAGGACCCTTCACAAGCACAGGGCGTGTCATGCACGCTGAGGTGCAGCTGAAGTAGAGCAGTTTGAAAGCTGATGAGACATCATGTCAAAACTGAACTGTACTGACCCTCAGATAAAAACTCAGAGTGTGATACCTGATATCCTCACCATTTCTTAGCAGGTATGGTGCAGATGTGTGAGACAGTCAGAAAGATTCAGCTCATATAAAGACAGCAAGACTTTCCTACAGCCAGTGGGATGGGGGGTTTATAACAGGGATGAAATGTTTTCACATAATTGTATTTGGGCCTTGAGCTCCATTATGTAGTTGAGTCAGATTGAAGCATACATGACTGGTAAAAATGACCTCATTCCCAATCACCCAACTTTGAGGAATTGTCACAGCCATGCCCCCGTGGCTTTTGATTGGCAGCCCATGACATTCTCATTGTTCAGGCCTGCTCTACCTGTAATCCTATTTGCAAGCAAGTAAGATGAACACTGTTTGAGAAAAAAACGTCAAAAGTCCTTGTGAATCTCCCCCAAAACTGGTAACTTTTCCCATTTTTTTTCAAAATGTCCCTGTGTCAACGTTTTTCCACAATGTCAAGAAACTTTTTTAGAATTCTGGTGAATGCAGACATGTCTACTAAAAATCATCTTCCCTGGTGAATCTGCCAGAAGGGGTTGCAATCAATGTTCCCTCTAATTTTTCATGTGTCTGGGCAAACACACAAGCTTCCTGAGCACACTGAAGATCATTGTGAGCACCATCAAATGCCCTTACCCTTAGACCGTCGGCGGGAGCGCGCGGGGGGGGGGGGGGGGGGGGGGTCCTGACTGTATCAAACATGTTTGTCCACTTCTTTTATGTATCCGTGAATGAAAGTCGTCTACAGGGCTATACACACACAGGCAGACACACACACACCCGCACACACAGGGACACGGACCAGCGCTGACAACTGCTTGTGTAGATTTACTGTTGTCCATATGTTTTCGCTATCTGTGTGTAGCTGAGTAAATATTTCGAAATAAATATCAGACCATTTTAATTTACTTTTTAGGTGACAATGTCACCAGGTGGACACCCGCGGCTTATTTACCGGTGCGGCTTATACGTGTACAAAGTTATTTTTTTCCCTAAAATAAGCATCTGCGGCTTATATAACGGTGCGCTCTATAGTCCGGAATTTACGATATGTAAGCAATGTCAATGCGATGATTGGCTACGTAGCGTAAGTGAACCGTATCACATCATTGGCTGGACATCTATCACTCACTGTGTTAGACATGCGCTGTATAGCTTTTCTTGTGCGCTGACAATGTGTGAGCAGTGCGCGATTGCGCAGGCGCGCAGCTTAGAGGGAACATTGGTTGCAATTTTTAAAAACTTAAAGATGGCGCTTTACTCATGTTCACATTCAACACCCATAAAACATCAAATTTTTGACAAGCTTTAATGGAAACCACAACTAAAGACACGTAATAATCATTATCATCTCAGAAATACCAATTAAGTCTTCACAATGCTTGGGTCTCAGTCCAAATATTATCTTTATTTTTTATTTTTAAAAATGTGAGTGTGGTCATGGACTGAATTCTAGAAACCACATTGAGGTGTTCACAAAGTCTGCAGGACCTGGAACCCCTGGTCCATGTATTTATCTTTAGGGTTAACTATGAGATCAATAAGACAGCTGCAGCTGATTCTGGTTTATGAAGTATGAAAAGGTTCACGTATTAAATACATCAGGGATATGAACAAACCAGAGTTTGAATCAAAATATGGAGCAGCAGCATTGAGTTTCACAAACCAAATATCTGGAAGAAAATACCATAAAATGTCAAGTCTGCTGTCTCCCTTAGTTCTTTTAAGTCTAGGCTAAAGACTCACCTGTTTGCAGCTGTCTTTTATGGATAACTTTAGAAAATTGTGTGGATGTGTGTTTTTATTTCCATAAATCTAACTCTGCTTTGTAACTTTCATGCTTGTAGAGTATCTTCTGTAAAACATTAGAGCCCAGTATAGGAGTCACAGCATTCAGCAATCTCAAACTTCACACATGTTCCCCGTTGCCTCTGTATGAAATTCAACTGATTAGTTATTTAGCAGACATTTTGAATGATTGGTGTGACAAGCTATAAAAATCAGCTGTGACAGAACAACCTCAAAGAAGTATTTCATGCTTGTAGAGTATCTTCTGTAAAACACTTTAAACTTCCTTGTTGCTGAAATGTGTGATTTAAATTAACTTGACTTTTTAATAATCAATCACTGGATCAACAAGTAGACAACTACTGGTACACCCTCCAAGTAAAATCTTGTCACTCTAAACCCTTTATTTAAAGCTTCATTAATCATTGTTGTCTGTGACCTACCTGTACCTTTTTTTTACTCTGAGAAGAAACACGTGGACCTGTGATGAAGATCTGAAGCTGAAGTCCTGATGCAGAAACAGAGCAGACTGAAGGAGAGCACCAAACCAGCTGCTCACCCGCAGGAACAGCTCCCACACATTTGCTTTGTTCTGATAAAAACAGAGATAAGGTCGAGCTCTTCAAGCAGCAGCCAGTAGAAAGTGTCTTTGTCAGTGAAGGACCACAGATTGGTTATTTTTAGAGCAGCTGACTTTCAGGAAATACTCAGATTTGCATAAACAGGTACAGGTGCACCCTCACACGCCCTCCACTAACGTTTAAGGTGTTGCAACTCCTGAGAAAGTTCAACTCACGAATTCCAGTTTAAACCCTACACCTTGCTCTGGGTTGGTATGATGGCCTCTGTAATTACAGGTTGTCATGGTGCATTGTTTAGCATGAAGGGATTACTTGGCAGATGAAGGGTTGAGGGTTTTTCCATTTGTATTGAGCAGGCAACATGTTCCCCATAATAAATCATTGCACTGTATTTACTTTGAGTTGCACTCCTCACTTGAGCTATTTAGTTTTGAAGTAAGTTTATGGTCCAAAAAAACAAAAAACAAAACAAAGAAACAAGGTCATGCTCACTGTTATGGAGTTGAAAAGCCAAAAAAGTCCATTTAAGTTTGATTCAGCAATTAAACAGAGAAAAACTGCAGCTTTGAAAACAAAACTGTAAATTGTTGGCTGAATATTCGGCTCAGGATGGAACAGGGTTGAGTAGTAATTTCTGACATTTTCTGTGGATTGGTGCCACAATGACCAAACATGAATGTGTTGATCGAAAGAAGCATGCACTGGGCTCACTATGAAATGCTTTCATTATAAAACCATACTTACAGTAAAAACCCATTAAGGTGAGACAGGAGCCTGAGGTGGAGCAAGTTTCCTTCATCATATTGTCTTAGTGGTTATTTGAAGATCATAGAGTGATGTTTTCTCACATGTCCTGACATTTGATTGTACTCACTGAACTCTTTATCTTGTCTGGTGTGTTTGTGTTGTTTGCCGTGTTGTTGGAGTTGAAAACAAGCTGCTGCTTCTTTATCATCTGCATACCTGAGGAATTACCATGAGTTAATTATAGATACATCTTTTCCAAACTGACTGGTTTCTCCAGATAAAGGAATGCAACCCCAATTCCTTGGATTTGCTCATGTCTGATTGTTGACACATTAAACACAGGGGACTAAGTGGCAAAGAGGTGTAACTCCTTTACCACAAATCATGCCCCCTAATTTGTAAGGACATAGTCCAACAGACTTATTTCATTTTACAATTGCAGGAATTTCAGAATTTTGTTATGTACGGTTCAAAAAATCGTCAAAAGATTCAGAGAATCCAGACAATTATCTTTGCATGCCAGCAACAAAGACCAAAACCAGCATGAACTTTGACCCTGGTGGTGACACTACATTTAAAACCCACATCATTCTGTAAAGAATACTACAAAACCAATTCCCAGGAGACCTTAAGCAAACCGGTCAGGGGCAGGAAGTCAAAAACTTCCCTGCAGGTTCTGAACGTAGCAAGTGCTCTTTTTTTATGACGATTGAAAAGCATCTTGGGATAGCTTTCACTGTGAATTAGCACTGTTGAAATTAAAACTGGTCTATTAATTGTTGACTGCAAATGAACACTTGGGTCTCTGATGACTTTTTGTAAATGTATCTTCTCTTCACATAGAGATTAAGAACTATGTTTCAGCTTTGAGCAACAGAAGAACTCACACACTCACACACAGCTGTTCAAATTTACCTGCTTGTTTCTGTGTTATCCGAAGGTATGGACACAAATACAACTTTCAGTGTTGTTTGATTCTTTGGAGGTTGAATAAAATTAAATAAAATAAAGATGTTTTTTTTAAGGGTTTGGTGTGTTGAATATTTGGCTCAAGGTAGGACGGGGTTGAGTAAGGTAAAAAAAAAAAAAAAAAAGAGATTTTTTCTGATATTTTCTGTGAATTGGTGCCACATAAATAAAATGAATGTGTGGACAGATAGAAGCATGCACTGGGTTCACAATGAAATGCTTACATTTTACTATAATTACAGTGAAAACCCACCACTTATGGGTTAGGGTTAGCCTAAGATGATGCCAAATAAAATCCTAACAGGGTGAGACAGGAGCCTGAGCTGAAGCAAGTTTCCTTTATCATATTGTCTTTGTGGTTATTTTAAGATCATAGAGTGATGTTTTCTCATGTGTCCTGACATTTGATTGTACTCACTGAACTCTTTAGCTTGTCTGGTGTGTTTGTGTTGTTTGAGTTGAAAACAAGCTGCTGCTTCTTTTCTGTCTGCATACCTGAGAAATTACCATGAGTTAAGTATAGATTCATCTTTTCCAACCTGACTGGTTCCTCCAGATAAAGGAATGCAAGTCCAGATCATTTTCATGAACACTCCAAAAACCTCAGTTTGAAGACCTGCTCATGTATAATGAAGAGAAAGAAAATTATTGATAAATTCACTTGTCAACAGCCGAGAAGGGTGTATGGAGCTAAAATGCAGCGACAGAGAAATACAGGTGACCCAGAGTTTTTATTTAATTTTTTTTTTAATTATTATTATTATTATTATTATTATTATTATTATTATTATTATTATTATTATTATTATTATTATTATTATCATTTTATTAATATGAAGAAAAATAAGAACTCTCACCAAATTTGATGCCCCAATCTTTAAAATGTGACCAAAAAATGTGATTTAAAAAAAAATGACAAATGTCCTTAAAACAGACATAGTCGGAACCAAGGGTTAAGACACTCACCTGTTTCCAATAAACCTGCTCACCTGTGGAAGGATCCAAACAGGTGTTGGAGCAGTCTTCTATTTTCACAGACTTTTGCCAAACCTGTCCCGACTTTTTAGGAACATGTTGCAGCATCAAATTCAAAATTAGTGATTTTTTGCAAGAAACAATCAAGTTTATCAGTTTAAACTATAAATATCGTGTCTTTGTAGTGCATTCAACTGAATATAGGTGAAAAGGACTAACAAATAACTATACTCAGGTTTTATTCACTTTTTACACAACATCCCAACTTCTCTGGAATTGGGGTTTACAGACTGCCTGCTTAGTGGCACCCTCAAATAGTCTTTTTTCTTTCCTTCTTTTCTTTCCTTTGTCTTCAAACAAGAAAAGCAAAAAAAAAGGCATTGAAAAACACTGATATCTGTCTTGAAAGCACTTATCACTGCAATACATCAACTAGAGACAATAACAGCCTCAATTGGGGCAATTTTTTAAATAGAGCTTTTACAAAAACGGGCAGATGTTTTCTGTTTTTTCTCTGTGGACTTTTTTTTTTTTTTTTACGATTCAAGAACATGTATTTTTAAACATGATCAAACTGATCAGAATCAACAAACCAGCTACTTGATTTGAACAAAGCAGCCATACATACAGCATGATAAAACTTCATATTCACAATTTAAAGACCACTGATAGCACTCTAAGTAGTACAAGGAAAAAGATAGGAGTGGGACTGTAATAAGTAAAACACTTTAATCACTGACATAAAAAGGCTAGCACTATCAATACACAAAAGTATTGTATCCAGTATTGACTATATTCGAAATAGCTTCTGCAGTTATACAACATTGGTTCAAAAAGCACTTGGTTGGAAAAGTCTTATGATGAACAATTTTTGAAACTGTACAGCTAAATGTAATAATATTATTTGGAAGTATTGATTAAAATGTATGACACAGAAAATATGCATACATAGTAACTCCTGTTTCTACTCTGTAAAAGACAATTTAAAGCTCTTGCGTTTTTTTAATTTCTGTTCCGCTTCTGTGTATAAAAGAGATATTTGTCTTGAGAGCAATTAAATGATCAAATGCTTTATTTTTCACCAAAACACTGATTCTTGAATTATGAAATTCTTGAAATGACAACCATAGTCCCTGACCCACGGCTGTCCGGAGAGCAAGAGTTGAGAAACAGGCTGAAAATCTGTGACTTATTATGAAACACAAAATACAGCACTGAAGGGGCCCTTGCACCACTGCAAATATTGGGGTCCAGAGCACATTTGTAAGTTGAGCCAAGACACTGAAGTCCAGCGAAGTTAAAGCATATCTTTCTATGTTGACTGGCCAGGGAGTCAGAATTTTAGGAAACTGTGGGCGTGGCTTATTGAATATAAAGGCCACACCCACCAAGTATACATGTATCAAATGAGTCATTTTCAAGTATTTTAAGTCCTTGAAAATATTAATTCCTGTTTGATGTGGAATACAGCACTGCCATGGCATCAGTGTTTAATGTAGACCTATTATAAGGTTTACTTGAAGGTGGTTGAGTTTAACTGAGTCTAGTGAAGCAGATAGGATGAGATAGTGGTTATGTGAACACAGTGTTTATGGAAAAAAAATATTTCCAGATCAAAGTGTTAAGGCTGGTACACTAAAACCAAATTGGCAATTTTGCCAGACCTGATGGCCGTGCAGTTTTGCTGGACTTGTCGAGCACATTGAGGCCCTCGTTAAGACAAATGATGGAAATAACAATCATAGTGAATCATGGGAATTCCAATTAGGTCTCAGCACCCCTTCAGTGCTTGGGCCCTGATTTTTATACTGTTATTTCTGAAACATGAAACCAGCACAAGGGGGTAGGTGTTGATGTAGCTGCTGTGAAAAAAATACATTATCGTTACATTTTTTTTACAATAAATATTCACAAAAAAGATGTAGATGACTGTTACAAGTTAGCTGGATCAAACATTTTTATCAGAAGACACGAAGTTCGTGAAGGACAAGAGAAGTGAGCCGTGTTTTTCCTACAGGGGGCACCAATTTGAACACAAACCAAAAGTTCTCAATTGGACCCATTTTTCTGCCTCTAGCTGAAGAAGAACTTTATTAATCCCCAAAGGGAAATTCAATATGAATGAATGCCATCAACCAAAAAAATATCCTACTGTTTGCTCACACAAAGGGATTTTAGTCACTTCAATGATAAACTTTTACTCTGCAGTGACCAAACCCAAGGCCTTTCTGAACACATTATGTGCGTCTTTAGCGAGCTCGTCAAGGATTACCTTGAGACACCAGTAAGATGCGGCAAAAGACAAGACCATGGCCAGTGGGATTCCAAATATGGGAATAAATTTGCAGCATTCCTCTGCTGCCATCAAAGAAGCCGTGGTGGCACATTTAACAAGCACCTTTAGCACAAGATCTGGGGTTATTTCTGTTTTTGCCAGTGGTGAAGCCATGACAGCCCTAAGGTCCTCAAAATCAACCCCTGTGCTGTGAGCTAATCTTTTCAGTGATGGTACATCTAGACCAAAACTAACTTTATAGTCCTTGATAGTATTAAACAGCAAGGCCAGATCAACAGCAGCTCCAAAACCAGGAATTGGTACCCCTGCAACAACTGCAGACAGAGTAGCAGCCAATGTTATCTGGGCTTGAAAAGCAGTTTTCTTCCTGTTGATGATCTCCAGGCTCATATTGGGCATGGCTAACAGAAAGGCACCCCTCTTGTGTTGTGGAAGTTCCCTCTCCAGTGTCTCCTCTAACATAGGGAACTCATACAAGTGGAGCTCAAAGTTGGACAACAGGAAGACCTGGGGAGACACCACTCCTTGCGCCTGAAGACCTGTGACAACAAGGAACAAAACAAGCTGATAAAGAATAGATGTTACAGGGACAAAGAAATGTAGAATCTCACCCACTGATCAGAGTCAACGGTTTTAAAAAGTGGTCAGTTTTCACCAGACTAAACCTGAAAATCTCTTCGTGGCAACAGAGTGAATTCACTGATAAGAACAAGTCTAGTAGGAGCTAAAATAATCTTTTATTGTGAAACAGTGAAACCAACAGAAAGATGACAAACCCAGAAAAAAAAACACCGCTATGTATTTAATCTGTTGAATAACGTGGGTTGTGTGCTAGGTGTTTTAATTTAGTAAACAGATTTCCTTTCAGACTTACTCTGAGTGCAGTATTCCCTGATCTCTTGACAAGCCTTTTTTTCATTGAAAGACTTTTTCCTTTTCCCATCCCGCATGCTGTTATCAATCTTGGAGCGGACAAAGTAGAACTTCTTCCCCATCCTCTGTATCTCCTTGGTCAGCTTGACATCGTTTTCTGTGAAGCGATCAGCTGAGATGATGATGAAGAAGTCAAACCTCTCAAATCTAACCTTCTTCACATAGTCTGCAGCTGGATATTTCATGGTGCCGACTCCAGGAAGATCCCAGAACTTCACATTGGGATGGTTTGGATGGGGGTATGGTGCAATCTCCATGGTGGTTTCTATAAGACCAGTTTTAGCAGCTTCCTCCTCATCGTCATCTACACCTCTCAAGGCATTAATGAAGGTGGATTTACCAGAGCCAGCCTCTCCTGTGACAGCAATATTTAGAGGAATGTTGGTCACTCTGTCCAAAATCTCCCGGATCTTTGCAACAGCCAGAGCTTGGTTGGTTTGTAGAGCTTCTTTTATTTCTCTTTGCTTTTGTTCTAAGTCAAACACATCCTCCATTGTGTCTCCTGAAATACTAAGCAGAAGAAAAGCACAAAAGTTATTATTAGCTTTGGCAAACATTAAGAAATGTAACACTAGACATAATTAAAACAATACATTGATGGAAAAACTGAGTATTTGGTAATACGGCAACATACTGTATAAAGCTATTGAAAATGAGGACATTTAAGCACAACTCTTACCATGCGTACACACAAAATTAGTGGTTGAACAGTGAAACTACAAATAGAGCCCAATATAGGAGTCACAGCATTCAGCAATCTCAAACTTCACACATGTTCCCCGTTGCCTCTGTATGAAATTCAACTGATTAGTTATTTAGCAGACATTTTGAATGATTGGTGTGACAAGCTATAAAAATCAGCTGTGACAGAACAACCTCAAAGAAGTATTTCATGCTTGTAGAGTATCTTCTGTAAAACACTTTAAACTTCCTTGTTGCTGAAATGTGTGATTTAAATTAACTTGACTTTTTAATAATCAATCACTGGATCAACAAGTAGACAACTACTGGTACACCCTCCAAGTAAAAACTTGTCACTCTAAACCCTTTATTTAAAGCTAAATTAATCATTGTTGTCTGTGACCTACCTGTACCTTTTTTTACTCTGAGAAGAAACACGTGGACCTGTGATGAAGATCTGAAGCTGAAGTCCTGATGCAGAAACAGAGCAGACTGAAGGAGAGCACCAAACCAGCTGCTCACCCAGGAACAGCTCCCACACATTTGCTTTGTTCTGATAAAAACAGAGATAAGGTCAAGCTCTTCAAGCAGCAGCCAGTAGAAAGTGTCTTTGTCAGTGAAGGACCACAGATTGGTTATTTTCAGAGCAGCTGACTTTCAGGAAATACTCAGATTTGCATAAACAGGTACAGGTGCACCCTCACACGCCCTCTGCAGATCACATGACCTCCTAAGTAATTTGCCCTTTCATGGGGCTCGTTTCTCACATTTGTAAATATACAAGTTTCAATTTTAACGAAAAGTGAGAAAGTTTCCTACATTAGAGCAAACGTTCCCAGCTGAGACAGAAACTCTGTGTTTCACATTTCATCATAGAGCACTCCTTGCCGCCTTGTTAGACACCAGACTTCATGAAAGCACAGCTAATGATGAGGAGAGTTGCTGCAGAGTGTTTGGAGAAGCTGGTTTATTTTGTTGTTTAACAGGTGTTTATCTCTGACACTTTATTTAAATCACTGATCTCTCATGTTTGTTTGTGTGGTGTGAGATTTCTCGCAGTCATATCAAAGATTAAACTCTCACTCGTTGTCAGATGACCTACTTGGCCTGAATGTTGCACTCTCAGGTTATGAAACCCTTAATGAAAACATCTTGAAAAATGTTTTGCCAGATAAAAAGGAATGCAAGTACACATCATCTATGTTTTGAAGTCCTGCACTGGTGCACTAGCTGCGGTAAAGTCCTGCACTGTGCTTAATGTGAGCATAGATTCTGATTAAGGACAGAGTTTACGCTCCACTAACATTTAAGGTGTTGCAACTTCTGAGAAAGTTCAACTCATGAATTCCAGTTTAAACCCTACACCTTGCTCTGGGTTGGTATGATGGCCCTTTGTAATTACAGGTTGTCATGGTGCATTGTTTAGCATGAAGGGATTACTTGGCAGATGAAGGGTTGAGGGTTTTTCCATTTGTATTGAGCAGGCAACATGTTCCCCATAATAAATCATTGCACTGTATTTACTTTGAGTTGCACTCCTCACTTGAGCTATTTAGTTTTGAAGTAAGTTTATGGTCCAAAAAAACAAAAAACAAAACAAACAAACAAACAAACAAGGTCATGCTCACTGTTATAGAGTTGAAAAGCCAAAAAAGTCCATTTAAGTTTGATTCAGCAATTAAACAGAGAAAAACTGCAGCTTTGAAAACAAAACTGTAAATTGTTGGATGAATATTCGACTCAAGATGGAACAGGGTTGAGTAATGGAAAATATATATATATTTCTGACATTTTCTGTGAATTGGTGCCACAATGACCAAACATGAATGTGTTGATTGAAAGAAGCATGCACTGGGCTCACTATGAAATGCTTTCATTAAAAACCATACTTACAGTAAAAACCCATTAAGGTGTGACAGGAGCCTGAGCTGAAGCAAGTTTCCTATATCGTATTGTCTTTGTGGTTATTTGAAGATCATAGAGTGATGTTTTCTCACATGTCCTGACATTTGATCTTACTCACTGAACTCTTTATCTTGTCTGGTGTGTTTGTGTTGTTTGAGTTGAAAACAAGCTGCTGCTTCTTTTCTGTCTGCATACCTGAGAAATTACCATGAGTTAAAACTCACTTTTTTAGACTTGCTTTTACATGATGCACGATTTATATATATATATATATATATATATATATATATATATATATATTCATTTGATTGCCTGCATACCTCTTGTTTAACCTTGTTAGTTATTTATATTGTTCTATTTCATTTGTATACAAATCTTACAATCACTTATAAACTATTTTTATTCCTGCTGTTTTTAGTCTCCACACTCTCCTACCTTATTTTTTATGTATTAAATTTTCCATCAATAGTCAATTTTTAACTGTCAATTTTCCTTTGTTTGTTACTGTCTTTGTTTGTGTCATCGGTAAAATCACTTTGTAAACAGTTGTTTTAAAGGTGCTTTATAAATTAAATTATTATTATATATTTGTGTGGGAAATACTTGTTCTTTACTCCCTTTTATCACAGAGTGCTCCTCTTTTTCTTCACATCTGATGTTGTGGAGAGTTTTAGCAGTGTACACAGTGTACAGTACAGTCCAAAAGTTTGGACACACCTTCTCATTCAATGCATTTTCTTTATTCTCATTACTATTTTAATTGTAGATTCTCAGTGAAGGCATCAAAACTATGAATGAACACGTGGAATCACGTGCTTAAGAAAAAAGTGTGAAATAACTGAAAACATGTTTTATAATTTAGATTCCTCAGAATAGCGACCCTTTGCTTTTTTGATAGCGCTGCAAACTTTTGCTGTTCTCTCAATGAGCTTCATGAGGTAGTCATGAAATGGTTTTTACTTCACAGGTGTGCCTTGTCCGGGTTACTTCATGACTAACAGAGTCAGTCACTAAGTACTTCTGTCCTCAAGAGCAAAGGGTGGCTATTTTAAAGAAACTAGCATATAAAACACGTTTTCAGTTATTTCACACTTTTTTATAAGTACAAAATTCCTCATGTGTTCATTCATAGTTTTGATGCCTTCAGTGATATTCTACAATGTAAATACCTATATAAAAAAATAAAGAAAAGACATTGAATGAGAAGGTGTGTCCAAACTTTTGGCCTGTACTGTATGTTAAAGCTAGATATCTGATTCTGTCTGTGCTGGCTGACACTTTAACACTTTATTTTCATGTCACTCAGTTGTAATCATCCTGTTTGTGTGTGTCTGTGTGTGCAGGAGTTTCCCCAGTCCTAATGCCCACACCATGAATGGCAGCGAACAGATAACTTCTGCGCCAAATAACAGTTCCACTCCCATCAGTTGCTCTCCTCTGCACTAAAGTGAAAATTAAACTGAAAGGTTGAGTAAAAATAGAAAAACAAGTCTTTGGACACTGAGGAAAAGTATCTTGTAAGTATCTGAGTAAATGCTGTGACCTATTAAAAAAAAAAAAAAAAAAAACTATATACATATATATATATATATATATATATATATATATATATATATATATATGTATAGTTGGATGCAAATGTTTGTGCTTCCCCTTAAAAACAGCACATGTAACATATTATAAAATCTATATTTTTATCCACAGTCTCTCAGGTATGTTTTAAAAGGACGTTATTATCAGAAAACATTAAAGCATTTCCTTTTTATTTCATAAATTGAACAAAAATTAAAAACATCATTTTGGTATTTGCAAATGTTTGTGCACCCTACACAGTCAGTGCTTTCAGTACTCAGTAAAACCTCGTTTGGCAGATATTTCAGCTTAAAAAAGCTTTTTATAGCCAACTTCAAGTCCCTCCATTCTACTCTTTGGGATCTTCCCCCATTCTACCAGTTAATTTTATGAAGAGAAATACAATTGATTTGGAAGAAGTTTCTGTTGTGTTATGTTGATCCATCATCCAGAGGTCAGTCCATCCACCCCCACCCGCTAGTATATCCTCTGAGACTCATTCACACACAACCTCTCCAGTCATGAATTAAGTTTAACCATTATGTTATCAATTTTGAACTAAGATATATATATATATATATATATATGTAAAGGTCAGTTCATGCTTGTACATATAAGCTGAAATTGTTTCTGTAATTGTTTAGTGTGGGTTCTGTATTTTGAGGAATATTCCTTAAATGCCACTCTTTCTTCACCATAAGTGTCAAAGTGCAGCATTTAACTTAGGGCTTTTCTAAACACCCTTCCAGCATCACTAGCGAGTGCATTAAGGCAAATGTTGAGAGCTCTGTGGGTAGTGAGGAAAGACAGGCCCATGGTGACTGGGATCACAAAGACTGGAATAAATCTGTACCCTTCCTCTTTCTTCATTAGAGTGGCTAAGCTGACACACAGAACAAACACCTTCAATACTAGAACAGGAGCTACTTTTTTCACCGCCAGTGATGGAGAGATGGCTGACCTCAGATCGTGATAGGGAACACCTGTGTACCTGGCTATTTTGTTTAAACTAGAGGTGTTAAGACCAAATCCAGATACATATTGAGAGACAACAGCAGCCAGCAAGATGAAATCAACAACAACAGAAAAACCTGGAAGTGGAACAGCTGCTACAGCTGCAGATAGAGCAGCAAAGTATTTGATTTTGGAGTGAAAGGCTGTTTTCTTCCTGTCGATCATCTCCAGGCTGTTGTTGGGCATGGAAAAAAGAAAGGCGTCCCTCCTGAGGTCAGGAAGTTCTCGCTCCAGAGTGTCCGCCAGCAGAGGGAAGTCATAGAGGTGGAGCTCAAAGCTGGACACCAGGAAGATCTGAGGAGACCGGACACCTTGTTCCTGAAGACCTGTGTTACCAAAGAAAGAAAAACATCATTTAATAACCTTGTTGGCAATCCAGGGTCTTCTGCGTGGATGTTATATACACATATATGTTTTGCTTGGGAGCTGTATTATAAGCCTGTGTGCCAGGTTTGGGTCAACATTATTACTGAATTAAATGGTGTTGGAGATAATGTATATATATATATATATATGTCACCTACCCTGAATACAGTTTTCCCTGATCAGCATGAGAGTCCTCTCTGCATCGAACTCCCTCTGACGGCTTTCTTTGTCACGGATGTTATTGTCGATCTTTGACCTAACAAAATAGAATTTCTTCCCCATCCTCTGGATCTCCTTCGCCAGCTTCACGTCATTTTCTCTGAGGCGATCAGCTGAGACAATAATGAAGAAGTCAAACCTCTCAAATCTAACCAGCTCCACAAACTCTGCAGATGGATATTTGCTGGTGCCAATACCGGGGAGATCCCAAAATGTCACATTTGGATGGTTTGGATGGGGGTACGGTCTGACATCCTCTGTTGTCCCTACAGATCCAGTGGGAGCAGCTCCTTCATCAGTGTTATCCAGACCCCTGATGGCATTAACAAAGGTGGATTTACCAGAGCCATGCTCTCCTGTGACAGCAATATGTAGAGGACAGTTTTTCTCCTTGTCCAAACTCTCCTGGTTCCTCAAAGCAGCTGGGCCTTGTCCATAACTTAGTCGATGTTCTCTTATTCCTCTGTCTTTGCGGTCAAAGACATTCCCCATGGTGCTTCTTCAAAACTGTAGGTCAAAGAAAAGTTTTCAAGCCGCTTTTTCTTTTGGCAAATGTGCACAAATAATACTATAGGGGAGAGTGGGGTAAGTTGAGCCAGAGGTTAAGTTGAGCCAGAGGGTAAGTTGAGCCACCCCCTGTTGCTTGGAAAAAGTAAAAGAAATGATCATGTGACCAAATATTTAGTAGATGGGCATCAATTCATGGAGTCTGTGAAGGTTAGAAGCACATAGGTGAAGGAGTTAGGGATACTGCTCAACTTACCCTGCTTCGATGGTCAACTTACCCCATACATGGGGTAAATTGACCATAGGAGACCACTTTTTTTTGCATGCTATATTATCAAGACAGTTTTGTTTACACTCATTCTGTTGGTTTGCAGGGATGCACAACATCTTTAAATATATGCAGATACACTAGTTAGAGACAAAACTATGATTGCCTTCATGTAGTGATCCGAAATGTGAAAAATGTCTCATCTTACTCCACTCTCCCCTACCTATCTAACACCTCAAACACAATATAAGACAGAATGAAGTTATTTTATGTGGCAGTTACAACATATTAGGCTTGATGGTTTCCAAAAAGTTCAGTCCTAACTTAAATGATGGGACAGGAAACTTGTTTTGAACAGCAGGGTGGGTGTGAATGTAAGCCACTGATATGATCAGCACAGACGCCCTTATGCACTCCACAAAGCATAACATACCACTATAAACTGGAAAAATATAACGTCAAAGAGACAAAGTATCTTGGGTAAACATTAGACAAAAACTTTCACTTGAAGATGATTTACAGTCAAACACAGGAGACCAGGACACCACATCAAAGTGTGCAGGCTGACATAAATACATCCTCTCTGTGAAAACTTCAAGTTTGATGACTCAATCTTCAGTTTTTTTTACCCGCTTCTACTTTTTTTTTTTTTACTCTGATAAGCAGTTAGTAGACTTGATCTGAAGGTTTACACACACTCACCCTGGAGTCCTGAGGTTGAAACAGAGAAGACAAACCAACTCTTCACTTACAGGAACAGCATTTACAAGATGTTTCAACTCCAACACAAACAGTCAATCAGACAGTCCAGCCCTCTTGGCAGTAGCCAGTAAAAACCTTCCTGTAAGTTAAGGACGTCTGATTGGTTACTTGAGGAGAAGCTGGTTTACAAGAAACAGACTGGTTTAAAATAAAGAGTTGAGTTGCACCCTATTACACCCTCTGCTGGTCTTTTTAAGCATGACCTCTTTTTTTTCTTGACTTTGCTGAAAAAAGAATTCTTCTTTTGTTTTTTTCTTTCCATAAAGCTCTGGTCTGATCTGAAAGTCTTGGTGTTGTTAACACTGTATGAAATCCTCAGTACTGCTTCCATCACTTTTAAAGAAACACAAACAGTGCTGGATAAATTCAGGGGTGCAGTGTTGTACAGCTGTTATAAATGCTGTTTGCAATGAAACTTTATTTCAACTGTTTATAAGTATGTAAAACCCCACTTTATTCATCTGGTATCAATTCCTGTTTTTTTCATGTTGTATTACACGTTGCAGACAGATATTTCATAAGTTCAGTTTTTCCCAACCACATGCAGAGTGTGTGTTCGTTGATACGAGAAGTGCTTTGTGATAAAGTCTCATGAAATGCATTAAAGAGTTGCCCCACTTTGAAAAACTACACCCTTTTCAGATTGTGGGGAAAGTTTTCTCTCAGTATTTCTTTGTGAAAGATTAGATACACTGAAATAATAGATCTCTGAAAAACAGCTAATACAAGGTAATATCAAGGTGTAATAATATCAAGGTGTGCAAGTGTGCAGTGTCAGCAGTTTCATGTAACTCAGGATGTTTCTTGAAAGTCAGCTGATTTGAAAATAACCAATGGTCGTCCTATAATACCAGGAAGACTCTTGATTGGTTACCATCCATGAGGCTGTACTCTAACTCTTATATAGTCCTCTGCTGTGTCTATCAGAGTTTCTTCAGATGAACACCAATACAGTGATCTGCTGGCTCATTTGTTTCTTCTGTGGGTGAGTAAAACCTTAAAATAAAACAAAGATCTATCAGCTGTTTATCACAGTCAAAAACATGAACAGACATGTTTATTTTGGTGGTTGTGGCATCTTACTCTGACTGTGATAATAACAGTCGCAGTCTCAATCAGCCCCACTGTCACACAGAGCAAGTTTCCTGTTTTTCTTTTCTTTTCGCTCTGCTCTTTTCTTCAAGTTTATGCCTGTACTTGATTTCTGTTCTTTCCTTTGTAATAGATAAGGTCAAGAGAACTGTAGCATAGCGTAATTTTATCTTTTCTTATATTTTCCAGGGAATGATATTGAATGATATTGATTATTTCACACAGAAGCACCATGGAGAACTGGTTTAGTAAGAAATACCTTGAAAATGATGTTAAAGAGGCTCTGCTGAACAAAGGCCTCAGCTGTTGAAAGGGTTAAAGAGAATTTACACAAGGAGGAAAATATTCTTCTGAATATCGCTGTCACCGGGGAGAGTGGATCTGGTAAATCCACATTTGTTAACGCCATCAGAGGCCTGACAGATACTGATGAAGGAGCTGCTCCCACTGGAGTTGTGGAAACCACCATGGAGGTTCAAGCCTACCAGCATCCAAGCTTTCCTAGTGTGACATTTTGGGATCTACCTGGTATCGGCACCATGAGTTATCCTGCTGACAAGTACCTGAAGCTAGTTGGATTTGAGAGGTTTGACTTCTTCATCATCATCTCAGCTGATCGCTTCAAAGAAAATGACGTGAAGCTGGCGAGGGAGATCCAAAGAATGGGGAAGAAGTTCTACTTTGTCCGCTCAAAGATCGACAATAACATCCGTGATGGGGAAAGACAGAAGCTTGATGCAGAGAAGACTCTCATACTGATCAAGGAAAACTGCATTCATGGTAATTATCCGTAGATACTGTAAACAGTAAATTGACAATAATATGTGCCTTAAAACAAATTAATTTGAAGTAGTGAGTCAGGTGTAAGATGGTGGACAGGCCGACTGGGTGTGGTAAGTGGTAAGTGGTAAGTGGAGCAGAAAAACTGCAAACATAGAGGGGCTGAGAGACCACATGACTAGCAGACAAAGAAGGAGGCCAATATCTATCATGGATGTAAAAGCCTTTAGAGTCTTTATATTTATTCCTGGCAGTTCTCTGTTTTGATTACACAACAAGTATAAATAATCTAGGGAGTTGAAATCATTTGTTGGCATATTGTTATCCTACATTTTCCCCTTTTTCTTGTCTTTGTGACCCAGGTCTTCAGAAACTTGGTTTCCAGTCTCCTCTGGTCTTTCTGGTGTCCAGTGTTGACCTCCACCTCTATGATTTCTCTCTGCTGGTGGAAACTCTGGAGCAAGAACTTCCTGACCTCAAGAAGGAAGCCTTTCTGTTAGCCATGCCCAACACCAGCCTGGAGATGATCCACAAAAAAGAGAAAGCATTTTACTCCAAAATCAAATACTTTGCTGCTCTGTCTGCAGCTGTAGCAGCTGTCCCAGTTCCTGGTCTTTCTATTGCTGTTGACATAGCCTTGCTGGTCAGTCTTTTCACTCGATATGTGTTTGGGTTTGGTCTTGACATCTCCTCGCTAAAAAGATTAGCCAACTACAGAGATGTCCCTTATGAAGAACTGAAAAAAATCGTCATCTCACCGCTGGCAGCAGCAAAGATTACTTCTGAGCTTGTCCTAAAGGTTGTGAAACAGTCTGCCAGCACAGCTGCACTTTTAGCTGCAGAGGAAGGGGCCAGATTCATTCCTGTATTTGGAATCCCAGCAGCCATGATCCTCTCTTTTACCACAACCTACAGCGCCCTCAGCTCCATCCTGGACATTCTGGCTAAAGATGCGGAGAGGGTGTTTGAAAGGGTCAAACCTTAGTGCAGTGGGCTGAGTAAATCATCGTAAACATGATTAAACACGCTTTTCCCCTCAATTTTCCATTAGGCAGAGATAAATAAAGCATGGTCTCATAATTAATTTTGCTGGCATAGGGGTGTTATTTAAAACATGTTCCAGTGTAAACCAAGTGGCTGACAGTGTCACGGCCTGGGGAAGATAATTGGTCAGGGGCTGCAGCTGTGCAACAGTAGGCACTATGTTCAACACCTGCTTATTTTCCTCTTTCAAACAGGCAAAAAACTGAACTCTGTAGAGCTTAGTATACTAGTACCCCTGCCTCAGCAATCATGAAGTCTGAAGCCAAAAACATACAGGATCTGTGTTGAAGGGATATTCCGGTGTAAAATTAACCATCTCATGAAGAGTGAGGAGACAGCAAGAAGGTGAAGAGAAATCAGTCACGACCGAATACCTGAGGCAAAGGAGGACACAATGGTCAATGTATGTAATTATCCAGGTTGTGGAAAGAAGCAAAATAAGTATAACTTGAACTCATTTCACAGATTGCCGTTTAGATACGGCCGGCCTATAATGAACCAGTGGCTTGTTGTTTTGAACATAGATGTCAATACGCCAACTGAGACGCTAAGACAGAACAACTACCACATCTGCAGTGCACATTTCAACAACATGATTTTGTGTCATCTATAGCTGCCGACCCAAAGAACCCATCCAAGTCAGGGCTCCCCCCACAAACAAGCGGCTGCTGGAAGAGAGTGGGTGAGTTGTGTTTGGTATCTTTGCTAAAGAAATCAGGTAATGCTAAAAAGATGTTTGATGGCTAGTACTATGGCTGGGACCCTATATGTACTGTTGATGAAGTTAGGTGCTGTTCTGAGGATTATTTGTGGCTATAGAGTGGCTTTTAGGTTGAGGTTTACATGTGGAGCCACAGACCGCTGTGTATTGCTATCGTGTGGTCGTCACTAAGGTTGGTATAACCAGAGAAGCAAGCAGTCAGCAACATTCATCTCTCGAGGGGTGTCTAACTTGGTGTTACAGTGTGTTTGACTCTAACTTAATTTTACACGTTCCGCTCAGTTGAGCAGCACTGTCTATCGCCCACAGGATGTGTATTTGGAGCATGGCAGCAGCGTAGTGCAGCCTTGATCAGCTGGGCTTAGTGTAGAGGAAACAACATGCTCACAACAGCTTGATTTTCCTTTCTGTGGTCTATTTGCTGCTAATTTGGATATATTTCAGTGACTGTTGAGCGTCTACTATATATGAAAAAGTAACGTGATTTTACAGTTTCGGTTTTCGCAGGTTTACTTGTGTTTAATAATGTAAATTATGTTCCTTTATGCTGTGCTGTTTCCTTCAGACAGAGTTACCAGTTAAAAGTCCTGTTGGGGTCCACATGAATCAGGGATTGACCATCGCATTGTTCTGTGTTACTGATAAATCCATAACCAGGAAGTATTTCTCATTTACACAAACTGATACACAGTCAGGAGTCCCCATATGGTTTTTTACTTGAAATTTACTGGAAGACATGCTCAGTTGTCATGCTTGACATCCTGTCTAGAACGATCTTCCCTGTGTAGATTGAAGTGTGTTGGAGGCGTAGAGCAGAGAAAATAGACTTGGCGCGTATCTTTAGCAGAGCCGCTCGACACACTTCTGAGACAGAGCTGTGACCATAGACTGTATATAGAGTGGACGCCGTCTGCCTCCTCTCTGGGTGAAGCCACTCCGAGAACAGCACCCTCTGTTGATGGGCTGCAGTATAGGTCATAAATCCCGCCTCCGCCAGCAAAGCTCATGGGGCTGTGGACCAACTTTGGAAATTTATTACACAGAACATAAATTTTTCTCCCCCCTGCTTGCGATGTTGACATGTAGTTATTGTAAGACTGGTATGTGGTCAAGTCCTCTTTTTTCTTTGAAACTCCGTTTTTAAAAGGTTATTAGGGGGTTCATGTTTGCTATGATTGACACCTGTTACAGCCTATGGGTGTTCAGGGATTGAGTAGCTCACCTGGGGGATACGCTGTTTGAGCCGAGCGTCATCACAGTGACTCTCTGCGACTGCGCGGCCAAATGCGCACAACGCGACTGCACAACGCTGGTTTCAGGAAATGAAGAAAAATCCCGGAAATACCGAGAGCTTTTTGGCTTCAAATCTGTATACAGGCAGTAGGCAGAACCAGGTTGTCCATAGTATATACAGTCTATGGCTGTGACATGTTCTATGTGCGATGCTGAACTGATTAGCATGGCAACCTATTTGCTGCGTGATACGAGACGCTGACAGAACGCACTCAACACAGATCCTGTATGTTTTAGGCTTGACATTTGGTAGACCAAGATGCAATTGATATGACTGTATTTCTGCAGAGATGAAAAATATAAATAAGCCTGTGTCAAATTCTGATATTCAGATTTGCATGCCTGTATTTGTTTGTTGTGTTTTGCTGTAATGTGAGACTCTATTATCTGCGTTGTGATGCTGTGTGAAAAGAGTTTAGACAGCCAGAACCTGTCCTGTATTTTGTAATCTTTGTAAAGATGTAAACATTAAATAAATCATTATTTTTGATCAATTAGTATGTATCAACCAAAGTTCATTTTGACATTTACAGGTTAAAATTAAGACCGCACAAAGAGGTTGAGTTTGTTGCATTAACAGAGAAAAACCACTACTCCGCCAGTTAGAAGAATTTGGCTGTTGCATTGAAGAGAAACAAACAGAAACCTGCAGCAGAACAACAAATGTGTTTTTTAACCCTGCTAGGAGAGGGGGAGGAGAGTGTGACTAACTGTATTCCTCTCTCTTTTGAGGTGACAAGACACTAATTTCCTGTGCAGATCGAGAGCTCATGGGCCCATAGTTCCACCCAGGAAATAAAGCTTTAGTTTCATGTCTCTCTCTCTCTCTCTCCCTAGACCATCACTGCACAGGCTGGTTTTCTTTTTAGGGCCCGAGCCAGCTGCAGAGCAGCCGGGCGTAGTGCCCTGTTGTTCCTGTAGTGGTTTTTCTTTGTTTCTTTTTAGGGCCCGAGCGTAGCTGCTAAGCAGCTGCGAGAGCCCTATTGTTCCTGTATCGGTTTTTCTTTCTTTAGGGCCCGAGCGTAGCTGCTAAGCAGCTGCGAGAGCCCTCTTGTTCCTGATGGATTCTTCTTTCGTTATTAGGGCCCGAGCCAGCTGCAGAGCAGCTGGGCGTAGAGCCCTATTATTCCTGTAGTGGTTTTTCTTTGTTAGGGCCCGAGCGTAGCTGCTAAGCAGCTGCGAGAGCCCTCTTGTTCCTGATGGATTCTTCTTTCGTTATTTTTCCTCCGCTTTAAACTGGAAAATGGCCCACTTCCCACTGGCGAAAACTCAGGAAATTTGGCAGGACGACCGGGCCTGGTGAAAAATTTGATATTCTGAAGTCGTCCAAACAAAAAAATGAAAAATGGCTCCATAGCGCCCCCTATGGTGAAAACTCACCTGACGCCTGTACGCTTTGTCAAAATGACACAAAATTTGACACACATGTGTATCTCAATAAGATCTACAAAAAAGTCAGTGCGGGCGTATCTGTCAAATGTACGGTTAAAGGGCTATTTCGCATTTTTTGCCGATCCGCACACATTGGAATTTCGCTAACTCCTCCGAAGGCTTTCGTTCCACCGGCACCAAATTTGCTCAGGCCAATCTACACCCCATGGCCATTAAAAGTTGTACAAATCATGACGCTGCACCCCACGGTTTATGTTCTAGGGGGCGCCAAAGATAACCCAAAAATCCACATTCTTAAAAGTCTTATAACTTTTTATTTTTGTGCTCACTGGCCTCCAAGTTTTCTAGGATGATGCAATGTCCAGCCATCAACACATTTGTGAAGGAATTTTTACTCCCCAAAAGAGCGCCCCCATTAGGGCCCGAGCGTAGCTGCTAAGCAGCTGCGAGAGCCCTCTTGTTCCTGATGGATTCTTCTTTAGGGCCCGAGCGTAGCTGCTAAGCAGCTGCGAGAGCCCTCTTGTTCCTGATGGATTCTTCTTTAGGGCCCGAGCCAGCTGCAGAGCAGCCGGGCGTAGAGCCCTATTATTCCTGTATAGTTTTTCTTTCTTCTTTCTTTCTTTCTTTCTTCTTATTTTTCCTCCCCTTTGAAGGGGAAAATGGCCCACTTCCCACTGGCGAAAACTCATGAAATTTGGCAGGACGACCGGGCCTGGTGAAAAATTTGATATTCTGAAGTCGCCCAAACAATAAAATGCAAAATGGCTCCAAAGCGCCCCCTAAGGTGAAAATTCACACTATTGACTGTCACGCCTTACGCTTTGTCATATTGACACAAAATTTGACACACACATGTATCTCAATAAGATCTACAAAAAAGTCAGTGCGGCGTATCTGTCAAAATGTACGGTTAAAGGGCTATTTCGCATTTTTTGCCGATCCGCACACATTGGAATGTGCTAACTCCTCCTAAGGCTAAGACCACATTTGCTCAGGCCAATCTACACCCCATGGCCATTAAAAGTTATTCAAATCATGACGCTGCACCCCACGGTTTATGGTTCTAGGGGGCGCCAAAGATAACCCTAAAAATCCACATTCTTAAAAGTCTTATAACTTTTTATTTTTGTGCTCACTGGCCTCCAAGTTTTCTAGGATGATGCAATGTCCAGCCATCAACACATTTGTGAAGGAATTTTTACTCCCCAACAGAGCGCCCCCCCATGGCAGGAGAAAAAAGTCCATTTTTTCTTGTCCCCTAAGGTGAAAATACATATTGTTGAGATTCACGCCTGTACGCTTTGTCATATTGACACAAAATTTGACAATCACGTGTATCTCAATAAGATCTACGAAAAAGTCAATGCACAAATATCTGTAAAATGTACGGTTAAAGGGCTATTTCGAATTTTTTGCCGATTCACACACATTGGAATGTAGCTAACTCCTCCTAAGGCTTTCGTCCCAGTGACACCAAATATTTCAGGCCAATCTACACCCCATGGCCATTCAAAGTTGTAAAAATCATGACGCTGCACCCCACGGTTTACGTTCTAGGGGGCGCCAAAAATGACCCAAATATCCATATTCTTAAAAGTGTTAGAACATTTCATTTTTGTCCTCACTGGACTCCATGTTTTCTAGGATGATGCAATGTCCAGCCATCAACACATTTGTGAAGGAGTTTTTTCTCGTTAAAAGAGCGCCCCCCCATGGCAGGAGAATAAAGTCAAGTTTTTCCTGTTCATAGTTCAATGGCTCAAACGCACTGCTCTCTCGGCAAAAGCGAAAGGAGGAGCAACTTGCCGTTTGGATATTTCCTAGCTGTGTTTGTGCCCTCATGGTCCAGACTTTTTTCAAATAGGACATGTAGTTTGTCTGCAGCCAGCGTTTCGGTAGAAACTGCGCCTCCCATTCATTATAATGGGAAATGACCAAAGACAGGTGTGCACACTATCTTTGGACCTCGACTGTGACGTCACAGTTTGACATTTAAATGTTATTTGACCTCTGACCTTTGGTGGAGACGTGAACCTTTCAACCTGCAAAAACGGCGTTTCAATAGCTCTTACGGCTTTTCTACAAATACACTTTGTTCTGCTGCTCCTACTGTCTCTTCAGAGCTTAGGATACACAAACACACACATACACACACACACACACACACACACACACACACAGAGTCTGTTTTTTAGCACCTGCAAAAACATGCTATTTACATATTTGACAAGAATGCAGGGGCTTCCTTTTGCCCCTGAAAAAAATCAAATTTCAAACACAACTTGACTGCTCATTTCTCCAAAAGACAACCATGAAGCTCCATCCAAACCTAAAGCAGGCAGTTGGTGCATGTGTACAGTAACCTGAGGGGACTGAGGTGACTGCTTCTGAGGAGAACATGAGCAGTGAAGATTCACCTTGGAGATAGAACAGGGACGTGCACATGATTATACAGGGGCAGGGGCTCAAGTTTTTTCCAGTCGTTTATACAATATGGAAATTAATGTGAAATTAAAAAACAAAGTATTAATAGAAAGGTAATGACTGTCCTGTGTAGGTGACAGTGATATCCAATAGGCTAGGCACTCACGAGGCTGGCTGTGGCAAGTGTAAGTGAAAGCAACACGCACTGGCAGGAAGAACAGCAAACACCGATGAAGGAAAAGGGTCTTTGCAGTGATGGGCGCTACCAGAGAGGGCGATGGCCAGAGGACGTGAATGGGACGGGGAGGCAGCCCGTTGGGGAGGGGGGGGGGGGGGGCGACACGGCTCGGGCCCGCCAGTGCCCCAACGGGGCCCTAGTTATTATTTTTCCTCCGCTTTAAACTGGAAAATGGCCCACTTCCCACTGGCGAAAACTCATGAAATTTGGCAGGACAACCGGGCCTGGTGAAAAATTCGATATTCTGAAGTCGCCCAAACAATAAAATGCAAAATGGCTCCATAGCGCCCCCTAAGGTGAAATTTTCACCTGATGCCTGTACGCTTTGTCAAAATGACACAAAATTTGACATACACGTGTATCTGAATAAGATCTACGAAAAAGTCAGCGCGGGCGTATCTGTCAAATGTACAGTTAAAGGTTTATTTCGCATTTTTTGCCGATCCGCACACATTGGAATTTCGCTAACTCCTCCGAAGGCTTTCGTTCCACCGGCACCAAATTTGCTCAGGTCAATCTACACCCCATGGCCATTAAAAGTTATTCAAATCATGACGCTGCACCCCACGGTTTAGGTTCTAGGGGGCGCCAAAGATAACCCTAACCCTTACTCGCCAAAAGAGCGCCCCCCCATGGCAGGAGAAAAAAGTCAAATTTTTCTAGTCCCCTAAGGCGAAAATACACATTGTTGAGTGTCACGCCTGTACGCTTTGTCATATTGACACAAAATTTGACAATCAGGTGTATCTCAATAAGATCTACGAAAAAGTCAATGTGCGCGTATCTGTAAAATGTACGGTTAAAGGGCTATTTCGCATTTTTTGCCGATTCGCACACATTGGAATGTGGCTAACTCCTCCTAAGGCTTTCGTTCCACTGACACCAAATTTGCTCAGGCCAATCTACACCCCATGGCCATTCAAAGTTGTAAAAATCATGATGCTGCACCCCACAGTTTACGTTCTAGGGGGCGCCAAAGAGGACCCAAATATCCACATTTTTAAAAGTCTTATAACTTTATTTTTGTCCTCACTGGCCTCCAAGTTTTCTAGGATGATGCAATGTTCAGTCATCAACACATTTGTGAAGGAATTTTTTCTCCCCAAAAGAGCGCCCCCCCCCCCATGGCAGGAGAAAAAGTCAAGTTTTTCCTGCCCATCGCTCAATGGCTCAAACGCATCGCTCTCTCGGCAAAACCGAAAGGAGGAGCAACTTGCCGTTTGGATATATCCTAGCTGTGTTTGTGCCCTCACTCATGGTCCAGACTTTTTTCAAAAAGGACATGGAGTTTGTCTGCAGCGAGCGTTTTGGTAGAAACTGCGCCTCCCATTCATTATAATGGTAAATGACCACAGACAAGTGCGCACACCATCTTTGGACCTTGAGTGTGACGCGATCGGGAGGGGTAGGCGGTCGCGCTGGGGGCGGCGCGACACGGCTCGG